CATAGAAGGAAAAATAATTTCAACATGACTGTGCCTGGTAAAGTAGAGATCATACTAGTCTTTATTACTCTATAGTAAATAATGTTGAGATTCTCCTACCAGTTAATAGAGCCATGTACAAAAAATAATGAAGCGCTTATAGCCTGGTTGGAGCTAATGATTTTTATAGGGATAACATATATATACATCTACAGTGATTCACAACTAATTATCAACCAAGTCGTCGATAGCTACAAAATTCTCAAATCAAAGCTTGAATAATATTTTTGATATACAATGAAGTCGAGTAATATATTTTAAATGTGATGCTCTACAGAATCCTAAGAGGAGAGAATTATTTAGCAAATATCTTCATTAAGCTTGCAAAAGAATTTTCATATTCAGAAGAGGATACAATTCCATTATTATTCCAAGGACATCAGGTTCTCTCAGAAGATGACATTAACAATCTACATGAAATAGTTACTAATGTAACGGTAGCAATCACCGAAGAAGTTTAAGACTAGTGCTAGCCATTCCTTGAATACTTGCAAAAAGAGAAATGCCTAAAGATAGATCATTAGCCCATCAAATTAAGAAAAGAGTAATGTCCTAATGTTTGCTAGACAATATTCTTATTAGAAGATCCTTTGATCAAATGTGCTTAAGATGACTGACTAGATCAGAAGCTTGAGAATTCGTCAAGGAAGGTACTCATGCTTGTGTGGTACCCACCAGTTAGGGCCAAAGATGAAGTTGAAAATCAAAAGACTGTGATGTTATTAGCTAGTCATGATGAGAGACTGTATAAACATAGTCAAGAAGTGTCACTAGTGCCAAGTGCACAATGTGGTTCTACATCAACCTCTAAACATGATATATCTCATGATTGCTTCATGGTTGTTCTAGTGTTGGGGCACAAATATAGTGGGTCCCATAAATCCTCCATCATCCAAAGACCATTGATTCATATTAGTTGCAACAGATTACTTAAATAAAACTAAATTAAAAATTACTCTTAAAAGACTACCTTTATATATTATTTAATAAAGTATAAAGTTGATTTTTTTTGTTAAACATTTTAATGAAAAATCATTTTATAATAATTTTCTACAAGTAATAGCCTAAATAATTTAGTTTAATGAAATCAACGATATTAAATTAGTTTTTCTTTAACTTAATCATCTAAAAAAACCACCACACTTATTGTTGAATCCAGATTTATCATGTGAGCATGCCCAAGGAATAGAACAAAAGGAAGTTAAGAGGAGAAGAGAGAGAGAGTGAGTAAGAGGGAAAG